GCTTTTTAAAAAAAAAAAAAAAAAAAAAAAAAGTAAATGCACATAAAATGATAAATTAAGAAACCTTCGTAAGGTAATGAGATAATAACTGGATTTAAATTCAGAATGCTTGCAACTGAATTGTGGGAGTATAAGATCTGACTTTATAAGTTTTTTTATACTTACCATGTCTTTTATCATTTGTTTTAGAATGCTCTGTTAAAAACATCAAAGTCCTACATCAATACTTAATATTATTTCGTATTTTAATCGGGACAGCCGAAGATTCGTTGAGAGTTTTAAAATTAGTTTCGGTAAAATATGTTATTCATCAATCAGTTGACCAATATTATATTTTTCTGTGATCAGCAGCAGCTTCTGGACGTCAGATATAGAGGATATGGAGCACCCCAAATTACACACTCCAACTTTACATTTTCAAATAAAGAAATAGGAAGTGTAAGATCTAATAAAAATAAAGAACATTTCAATCCAATTTATGAAGAAGTTTCTGGAGGTTCCGAAGATAAGGGTGGCAGTCGCAGTGGAGACTCGGACATCGATGATAGTGAAACAGAAGCTCGGGTAACTGGTAGTGAAGACGAATTCGCAGAAGACGAGTTGAGCCTCGCAGAGTTCCCAAGAGAAGCGGGACGGGTGGTATCAGGAACTAGCAGTTTGCAGGGGTCCACGGGAGGAGACTTGTGCCCTGACGTAGTTTCTGGCTCTAGTGAAGGTGCGTTGACCGACAATTCGGACTCGCGAGAACTCCGTGGACTTTTTCGTGGAAATAAGAGTGGATCTTCAAATCGTAAAAGTACCGGTCACTCGTTAGAACGCAATCGAAACGGACATGCTAGTGATGGGTCTCAAGCCAAACAACACTATTATCTACACAAAAATATGAATGGTCCTGATCTAGGTTATCCCAATTTACTTAAAGGTAGTGAAACGCCTTTTCCTCTAAATAGCTTAAAATCTGAACCACATCCGAGTATATCTGGTGCTTCATCCAATGCTTCTGTGTTTGTACATGACCCAGGTTATCCACGAAGTGGTCAGAAAGGAATACATTCTAGCCATCAATCAGATAGACGGACCCAAAAACGATCCGAGAGCTCCCCATCTCCTCTTCCTAACCCTTATGGCCAAGACGTTGCCCAAGCTCAAGTTACGCAAAGTCCGCACAGTTCTACATCCAGATCCAAATCTGGCCGACTTCCGGGAGCTGTTCTTTCAGAACTTAATCAGAGATTCGGTGGATCTGGTAAGAGGCCAGGTTTATACCCTGCTAATCAACCTCGTAATATTCCCTTAATTGATAATCAGCGTTCAGCAGCTCCTGTTGAGTTAGGGACCTTTCGACCAGGAGGTAGGAATTTAACTAATCCAGATAACATTTACGCATCAATAGACGAAGATGGCCTTTACGCCATTGATGGTAGTCGTCAGAACACTAGTCGGAGCCCGGGAGATTCAAGACAAAATTTTGATAGACGCGGAGTGCCAAAGGACTGGAACAAAACATTGGACAGCCAATACATTCCACCTGCAAACAGTGCCGAAGAACAGGAATCGTATGGAGATATTAGGCCTGTGAACGATTCCAGAACAATAGGCACATGATTACTAAGTTAACATTTATGTTCTATATTACTTTTCCATCGCCTCTAGTTTGGTCCCGCCTGGCAATGGAAAGAACTAATGATACTCGTGAGTGATGCTGTTAAGACTCCTTTCTTCCTGAAAACCTAATAAGCGCTCGGAAACGGGAGTTGTCTTTTACATTGTGAAGTAAATTTTGGTTGTAAGGTAAACTTTTATTGACTATTCAACGGTAAATAATTGTAGCCATAGGTGTAAAAAAAAAAAATAATAATAACATTCTGTTTACAAGTTATGCGCCTAAATAAATTTTGTAAAGTGTCAAATCAAACAGTCATTACGCTTTGAGCTAGAATTTGTTCCCGTTATTTAGTTTCTACCTAGTTATCAAGAAAGGCTCGTATAGTCAGCACTGTGATATGTCCGTGTAAGCTGCTTCCCAGATCTTGCCGGCCCCCTCTGCTGAGTAGGAGCCACGCGCCAACCGTATGTATAAAGATTTTTTTTTTCGGTGCGAAGACCACCGAAGAAAGCTGCTATTTTATTTTATTTGAAGAGGAACGTCCATTATATTGCCACACGATGCTCAATGCCTAAAGCATGTCACTATATAAATATAGTGTACAAAGTACATCACGTAATCTATTCAAGCTCTTAGTTATTTCAGATTGGATGATTTTTTCTATTTTTTTTGTATAAACTAACTATAATACTTAATTAAAATTTTTAGATGACATTAGACTGCTGCACTGATTTCAACCTTGCTTGTTATTCATTCCTGTAGTATAATTCAGAAGAATTATTTTTCAGGCACTTTGTCGTAGGACAACTTGTGAACAGTGGACCTAAGTTACTTAACTTTATTTAACATAATAAGAGCTGCTTTCCCTCAGTTTTTGATTAGCTGAGAAAAACTCGCCGTGTCAACAACTTCAGGATAGCTAATTTTAAGTTTTAAAAACCAGACAAAAGGTAAAAAAAAACTTTACTCATAAGCAGAATTACATTCTCAGTGTCATTTTTTTGTCTGATTAAAATTCATTCGTTCTGGTGTTATATCTGTTGTCAGTATTCTATAAAAAAAAAAAAGGAAAAAAAAATAAAGGTGACAAAATTAATTGAAATATGTATACTTGTATATAGTGTGCATTTGAAAGTCAGTATGTAGAAACTTTTGAAATTCATTTTGGACATTCTAATGTAAGATGTTAGTTATTTATTAAAAATTTTCTGTTGAATGTTTCTATTACTTTGAAAATATGTTTAAAGGTTATTTTTTTCCGTTAGAACAATAAAATCAAAAGATATCTCTAAAACATAACAGCGTTTTTGGAATTGTTGATAAATTAAGACGGAGTAGTTTTTAGCTCCTGCTGTATCCGTAACGAAGTAATAAACACTTCTGCTTTCGTAAAGTATACATATATATTAGAAGCACACTATTTGAAATTAATAAAATTGGTAAAAAGCTGATTGTAGTATTGGTAAACATGACTAAAATGGCCGTGCATAAAGTCACTGGTGCTTTTTTTCCCCCTTCAAAATAATTGAAAAACATATTACGATTATTTCTGTTTTTTTTTTTTTTTCTTCTTGCTGGTTAAAACTCACTACGTGCTATAAAGCAAAGTAAATGCTCAATTATAAAAGTTTTGTGATTTCTTCTACATGAACAAGAGCTGGTTAGAAGAAACGAAACGACTTAAGTCTTGCTTAGATAATCTTATTTAATATTAATATCAAATATTGAAATTTGTTGAACGTTAATGTAAGAAGCGTAAGATTGTTTATTTTGTAGTAGATTTCATCAACAACAGAGTTTTTCCTTTTCATTTAAATAAGTCTTGATGTCTGTTACTGACGGTTCGTTACTCTCTTACATATCATCTTTTTCAAACCTTCGAATTTAATTTAAAAATTGACAGATTCAATGAATTCAATAAAAACGTAGAAATGACAGTATGGTCTGACTGAGTTATTTACACTAACATATCCGATTAGGAGTTAAAGAAACGTTTGGAACCGAAGCGTTGAGTTAATGAACAGTGGATCGTCTTATGGTAATAGACTGGGTCCAACAATAACACAGGAGGATCACAAGCAGTATAATTAATTCTTCTTACTAAATGTTCATCTGGTTCTGCAGTTGGGATCTGCTGATTTGGTGATGTCTTCTCGCTTTGTTTTATCTCTCAACTGCATCAGTGTTTATTTAAAAGCATTTGGAATTGAAATGAAAGGGGCATAATTAGTTACATAATACCATTTTCAATACGTTTTCCTTATGCTTAGAATGGAATAGGCTATTACAAGGAAATGTATGAGAACGTCTAACAATTTCCGTGAAATCCATCTTTAACTCTATACCTCATGATATATTTTGATAGTCAACGTTCACATCATATTTTGCTGCCACTTTTCACAGATGTTTTGTATCTGTTTTGGAGTATCAAAAGAAATTAACTACATAGCAAAGAGCATGCAAAAGTGTAATTGGATTTGAAAATGGATTTCATTTCTCTTTATTATGACTGGCACTGACGACCAGTAAAGAACTATTAAGACTAATAATTGACCTTTGGGTAGACTTAGCCTAATGTTTAGCGTCCCGAACTGTGGATCGGAAGGTCCAAGGCTCGAGCCATGATACCTCTTAACACGCTTTACACTTTAGGCTTTGTGCGTGTTACGATCGTCCGAGTAACATGTATATCTGATACTATAGAAAATTAAATTCGTTTAAATATTTGTTTCTAACATAAATATAAATTACAGAAATCGTTCAAATAAGTAGTTTTGAATTTACTGAATAACCAAAAAGAAAATTGTAATAAACCAACGCATTATAACTTGTACGAAAACGCAATCTTTAAGGATATATGGAGGCATAGTTTTATTATTTAAGAAGTTATATAAATTTCTTTTTAACTTTAAATAGGGGATCTCGCCTTAAATATTGAAGCGAATTATAAAGTCTGTTTTAAAAACTTGACGAAAACTGTTTCGTAGTAATAACGCTTTTAAATCCATATACATCCGTGTTTATTTTGCCCAAGCTTTCTTTGCGACTATGTCTATACGTACAGCTGTAAGTTGCCCTGGTAATGCATGACTTCAAAAAGACAATGTTGACTTCTGATGATGCTTTCAAGACACGTTAACAGACACAGCAGTTTATCATGTTAACTTGAAAGCAACACGTAATGACAAGCCCATAATAATAATAATAAAACATCTTTCAACATAACTCGTACAGGTACTAGCTCTGAAAACCTCAAAATTATGTTTGATGTTTAACATATAGGACTAGCATAAAAGCCTGTAACTGTACTAGAGCACTTTATCTCCGTATAAGAAGTTGTTATAGAATGCAATCCCGGTGAGTTAGCGGTAGGTTCACGTACTTACAATGCTAAGATTTGGGGTTCGATACCCCGCGGTGGACAGAGCTCACGCAGCCTATTTTTTTTCTTCTTTTTTTAAGGTTTGAGCTAAAACAAATCCGAATGTGTTGTTTAGTTCGTTTCTAGTTTTCAGTTCGTACACACTGTATCTTTCTGCCATGATAGTGGGTTCTATATTAAAAGATTGTATTGCTCTGATGCCCTCGAACCCATATCGCCCTCTCTTAAGATATCATTACCGTTAATTGTTTTGTGATTAGAAATCGTATACACCATTGTAAGTAACTGGACGAAAACGAAGGATGTGTAGGTCATAAAAATTTAAATCTAATGACCAATAAATGCCAAAAAGTAATTTAAAATTAAATCATATCGGTTATGCTGACATCAACAAAAATAATAATACATAAGAAGTGCACATTGATCTTGGTATTTAAAAGGTAAAAAAACCCACATCTAAGGTATTTATTTTAGTAATGTAATGAAACAACTGGTATGGTCTTTTCGATTGCTGTTAAAAATACTTGATGATCGATCCAGGAACTTAAAAATTGTTGCTTTTTTTGTTAAATTGTTCGAAGTTTTCGATATAATAATTTGAATAATTGCTAGATTAAAGGTGCATTAGGGTAAAATTAGTTGAAATTACGTAATGTATAATTAATCGTAGTTTAAATGATAAAATTTCAGTAAATGAGACTGAATTTCCGTTCAACATCGTATTGTTTTCTGTTCTGTTATGTGATTATAATGGTTCTTGAGAATAGTTCCCAATATTTCCTTGTAACTCCTGTACGTTTCACAGATGGAAGATAAAGAAGAGAAACTTAAGGTAAAAAAAAAAGCTGAGAAAAATAAGTTGAAAGTGGTGAACAAATATAAGGGATTAGGTGTGTATACAAAACACCGAGAAACTCGCTTGTACAGCTAGAATTTGTGTTAAAATATTAAACAAAATTGGTAAAGGTGAGAAGTTCATTTTAGACAAAAAATGCCATCGGTAATATTGAATTTTTTCATTCAATCTTCAAACATTCTGGTTTACTCATATTTATTATGATTAAAATATTTATAGTTATTTGAACAGTTTTCACGCAGTCCAACTGTAACAGAACGTGAACGGCCTGGTTATTACAAATGCACAACGATGTAGTGTATTGTTACGTCTCTGGTCGTTTGTTAATTACTCGTAAAAATTCTTTCGGGAGAACTTCAGCGATACAAGTCCTTTCTCAAACAAAACTAGTTTATTTTTTCTCAATTCAACTTTTGCAATACACTTAATTTCCGTAGTCACCTTAACTTAAACACACGCTATAATTTACAACGAACGATTCACGCACTTTTTTTACTACCGCGTTTGACTCAATTGTCCGTCTATATCTTCAATCTCTCTGTCTGCTATACAATTCCGATTAATTGTCTGGTGCACTTATATACAAGAATAG